GAAATTAGATTCAAATTACTGACAGGTTCATTTTCAAATTCAAATTCTAATTTCTTTAGAAACATTTTACGAACAAAACAACACCTAAGAAAATTGACCTTTTAAAACCATAAAAGTCAATATTATACCATTTGCCAAGAAAAATATTAAAAACGTTTTAAAATAAAAATAATAAGTTGACTGCGGTAACAATAATCTTAAAAGTATCTAAGCATAATTCCGGGTTCCATCTAAAAACAAAAGAAAAAAATAAATAATAATAATAATAATAATAATAATAAAGGAAATCTCCAATAAAGTTCTAATATTTTAGGCCAGTTTACGGTTTAGTCCCAAATTAAATTTTGTTTACAAAAAATGAGAGAATACCGGCTAAAACTTTCGGAATAACCCCTCTGTGGCCCGTTTCGTAGATTTAGCCGGTATTCCGGCTTTTTTCATTAATTCGTCAAAACATTGAGACTTTTTCTTTAATTTAGCTAAAGCTTCGGAATAACCGTTTTATCAGTATATAAAAAATGGTTTGTTTTTTAAACGAGTGTATTTTTTCATTTCTTTTTATACAACGTTATATATTCAGTTTTAAAGTCACGAAATTTATAAAAAAAAGTATCTATACAATCCAAAAAACTAACAAACATCATAAATTTGTCTGAAAAGCTTTACCGAATATATAGAGTGCTCAATGATTGCAAGATGAAATTCATACAAAAATATTGTATATTTTCCTTTGATTTCAAAATTGGTTTAAGTATTAAGATAACCACAAAACATACATAATAACACTAATCAGGTATACTTAAATATATGGGATAACCTTTCTCGTTAATTGTCACAACTAGCATTTTTGCTAGGAAATTCTACTCTCATGCAATCATTCACCTAGTGTAATAACTTAAGTGAATACTATACTATGTTCTCATTCAAATATATCTCATATGTTCAAATAAGGGTTGGAAACCCTAGAAATCCCGACTCAAGTTCATTGGACTAGGATTCCCTTATTGGGTTTAATGGACCAATAAATCTCCAACTTCATCATCTTGGGCCTAGGAACCCTAAATGGGCTCTAATTGGACCCACTTCCATAAAACTTAGCATTTTGGGCCATTTTGGGTCCAAAATAAATTAGTTTACCCTTAATGGGTCTTATTGGGCCATAACAACTCCAATTAACCTTAATGGACCATAAAACCCATTCTGTATACTATTTGGGCCGTGAACTACCCTAAAGGCCCAATGGGCCGAAAATTTTCTTTATGAGCTTCATAATTTCGAACCAAAGGAAGAATTGGGCCAAGCTAATTCACCCTCCTTCCTCCTAGCCCAAATCCCGGCCCATGTTTAATAAAAAAAAGGGAAAATAAGGGGATTAACTAGCATTAGACACATCATTATTGTATAATGGACTTCCATGAAATTTACCCACTAAAGAATTCATACATCTCATGTATCCAAGTATCCATCCTATCTTTACCTTCCTCTCCCCTCTCTCCTTCTATTTACGGCCAAGAGCATGAAACACACACACACACAAATGATTCATTCTCAAACACTCTCAAATCTCACAAGAAAAACCTCCTTACTCTTCAAAAATTTCTTGACTTGGTGAGTGTTTTCAAGAGTTTTTCATCAAGATCTTCACACTCTTGAACCACCTAAGTCGAAATCTTCTTCTTCCAAGGAAAGCTCTCAAGAACTTGTCCTCCTTCCTCTAAATTCTCGAGTTTTGGCGTAGTTTCAAGAAGATCTTCACCTAGATCATCATCTTTGGTAAGTTTTTGCTTAGATCTATGATTTAACTTCTTGATCTCTTCAAAGATCTCCTTTTACATCCATATTTTTGTGGATCATGTTCTTAGAACCATCTAAGTTCAAGATCTACTCAAGAAAGCTTGCTAGGATCAAAAATCTTCTTCCACTTCTTCATCAAAACCGGTCCATCATCCCAAGGTGAGTTCATACCCCCTATTTTCGGTTTTTACTTTGTTTTGGGGGAGAATACAAGCTGTCTTGTGTAGATCTATGTGTATATGCATGACTATGTGTGTTTTACATGATTTATTTGGTGATTATGTGTTGTTTATCTCATAAATCTAGAAATATGTTAAGAATATGAAGTTTACCACTTGGATCTTCATAAAAATCTTGATAAAAGTATGTGTTATCACATATAATACATGTAAACTAGTATATATGGGATTTATACACTTAAAATAGTAAAAATGAGTGTTGTGTTCCAAGATCTATAAACTAAACTCAAAAATCATCCCTTTACAGAAAAGTTTTGGTCCAATCTCGAACTGTTTTGACCACCTAAATTATAATATTTTTCAAAACTGTTTTACATGCCAAAAGTTCAGGTTTATACCTTTAAAATAACTACTCTCACGTTTTCATACAATTTTTCTACAATTTTTCGCGAATTTTACAAAACTGCCTATCAGATTTGAAATAATTTCGGACCAGCCTGTGAATGTGAGCAATTTCACACTTGTTAGAAGTCATTAAAAATTATTAGAAAAATTGTTAACAAAGTAGACAAAATTTCCAAACTTCCAGAATTTACGGATCCAAATTTCGACTTACGATGATTTTTCTACAAATTTTCCAAAAACTAGGTCCGAAAAGCTCAAAACCAGAAAAATGTGTATTTTCACAACAATCAAGTCAAAAATGGTATTTTTGACAAAAATGGGTTAAAAATGTTATTTTTACCAAAAATTAGTCATAAAAGCAAGTTTTGAACATAATGGAGACTAAAGTGTTATTTTTACTAAGATTTGGCCTTAATTGTAAATTTTTTACTTATTGGGCCAAGAGTGTCATTTTTACAAAAGTGGTCCTTCTAACACAATTTGGCAAATACTTGATATAAAACGAACATAACAATAAGAAAACGGGTTAAACACGGTAATTACTTTCGTATTGGACCTGGAAATAATATACAAGTTTAGTGGGCCTTAGTTGTCCCTTTACAAGTATATTGGGTCTTGAAATACTCATTCACTTTTGGGCCTGAAATAGAATATACATGTTTAGTGGGCTTTAGTGTCCTTTTACATGCTTAGTGGGCCATAGTGTCCTTTTGCGTGTTTAGTGGTCCTTAGTGTCCTTTTACATGTCTATTGGGCCTGGAATTTACATTACATGTCATTTGGACCCTTGATGTCCATTTACATGTCAATGATTCCAAAAATTTATTAATTATGTTTAATAGTGTAATTCCATATTCGCGTAAGTTTTGGTAAAGACTCTAGTGAGATTTTTCGGTTGACACCTATCGAGTGTACGATCGTAGCCTGTAGTTATAGCCAGAGTCTCCTGGAGGGAGAGCGGGAGTTTTGTATAGATCTATACGGGGGTGACACCCCACACCTGAGCTGTTCGCTACAGTTAGACTAAGCCAGTCTAGGGTGACAAACTTTTATCTTATGATTCTTCGGCGTTTATTAAACGTCACGACAGGTGAATTTGTCATTATCATGTATGGTTATAGCGACTCACTTAGAGAATAACTCCATTATAAATTTACGGAATACTTCATCAATGTAACACGGTCTTTGGCGATTAAGACTGCTTCATTCTTTATAATAAGAAAATATCGGATTTTCTGGAGAAAACATTTAACTAATCAATATCTTCTACTTATATCAGAAAATATAGGATTTTTGGGAATGTACTTTTTATACCTTAACACACATGCATTAATACAAGATCGAACACAATCTTCACAACTCATTTTTTTAGAAAATATCGGATTTTCTGGTGTTACAAAACTATACAAAAGTGTTTACTTAAACATGCTTATGAACTCACCAACATTATATATGTTGACCTTTTCAAATTAACTTGTATTCTCAGGAAACCGTTAAACAGGTGGACTTCAAGAATTTGACAACTTTTTGTACTCGTTTTGCTATTATATACTTTCTGTGTTAGCATGTAACTTATAACCCACTACTCGATGTAAGAAATGATGGTTGTAATTTTGAATGTATGATGATGGTGTTTGTGATATTTCATTTATATTCATTGTGATGATATACAATTGATAGTCACACGAGCCCTCAGACGATTCCGCCGTCCGGTTCGAGGGTGTGACATTAATACTCATTTTCTTCTTCATTCTATTGGTTGTTTAAAACCTTAATCCATATGCCCTCTTTCTCCCTCTGTTTCTTTCTATCTATTGCAAAATTGGGAAGGATGTGATAAGGGATACATACACACACCCCTCAAGTAGATATATGTCTTTCCTTTTTATGTGCACACACACACAAAAAGTTCTTGATCTGGAACGTGTGTGTGCGTGTGTGAAATGAGGTATCAAAGTCCAAACGAATATGTGTTTTGTGGTCTATCCAAGGCAAGACTAGCTGCTACCAAGATGTTGCTACTGTCCTTGGCAATTTGAGGTACGAGTTTTAACATGAGCGTGTTGAAGTGTATGATTCAACCCGTTTATTTTCGTGTCAGGTTGATTGGTTTAGAGTATAAACCTTAGAAGTATGTCGTTTCGTACTAGATTAAAACACTAAATAAGTTGAAAGAGTACAACTTGGAGAGGTAGATAAGAAAAAGTGAAAAACCGAAAGGAGTAGTAGTTTGAGACGCGGATGAGTGAAATTTACAATAAGTTTAAGGGTAATTGATCAATTAACGAAAAAGCCCCAAAATTTTGATCAATTATCGAAAATAACTCGAAATACTGGCTAAATCTGCGAAACCGGCCATGAAGGGTTATTCCGAAGTTTTAGCCGGTATTCTGTCCTTTTTTGTAAACAAAATTTAATTTGGGATTAAATCGTAAATTCGTCCAAAATTTTGGGACTCTATTGGAGATTTCCCTAATAATAATAATAATAATAATAATAATAATAATAAACAAAATTCAAAATTTAAGTTATAACCATGAGATTAAAATGAATAAAGTTAGGGTAATTTGAAGCGGATAAGATAAAAGCGTGCAGATGTCGATAAATTCTTAATCAAATTCAAGAACATGATGACTCACTTCAAAATGGAAAATGACGAAATAGAGAGAGTAGTTCCAAAAGATGGGCACGGGGAATGTACCCAAAACCAGGAAGGTGTGTAGCAGTGGGCAGTGAAATCAATGGGAATTTGAAATTTAAAATAAAAAAAAGGGTACAAGATGCTTTTGAATTCTGCTCCTGCTCTCTCTGTAAATTAAGCATAAACAAACAAAAACCCTCATCACTTTGTAGAATTTGATTTCCAGATTATAATTATTATGTCTCTGTTTTACCCTGAATTTCAGGTGGGTGTATTTTTTTTTTCTTATCTTCCCATGTTGTTCTTGAATCTTTGATTATTGAAAGTCATGGAATGTAGTGATGATAAGTTAGACGCTTGAACTTAACTTTGAAGCTAATGGGTATCCATCAATCATCGGTAGAAATGTATAAACAAATGATTGAAGAATGGAAAGAAAAAAAGTTTACCAAATTGGATTGTTCTTTGTCATGTTTCGCGTAATATTCTTTCTTTGTTGCTTGCGGGAGTTGCTTTAAATTTAATATGTCCACTGCACCACCAAGCATAGATTCTCTTCATCGACAATGTTTTTGAGCCCTTAATCCCATTACCTGAAGTGGGGTTTCTTGATTTTGTGCCCTGTGTTTTTCTGCATTTGATTCCCTTTCTCTTTCCATCTCTATCTTTCTCGTTATGAAAAAGATTTATTGCTTTTCCCCTTTACTTCACCTCTCCTTTCCATGGATGCCATTGTTTCTTTTTGGATTTTAGGAAAAATGTGTAGCTGGTTCACATATATGCATATTTAGTGTTTGAATATTCACTTCTTTTATTCCATTCCCAATTTGCCTATAAATTCACACTCTCCCAACAAACCTATTTCTTCATATTGCAGTACACGTTTTCACTGATACAAGCCGGTGGTAGTGATTTTCATTAGTGATTGATTACTGATCAACGCATTTTCTTCTCAAACAATTCACATGTCCAAGATGAGTTATTCAAGCGCTTCAATGGGTTCCGGTCAGTTCAAACTCTGTCTCTCCTTCTGCCTTTTTTTTTTTTTTTTTTTTTTTTCAATTCACTGTTCAATCAATAGCTGCACACCAACTGTTTGATAAAAGTCTCAAACGAATTCCAGGTAGTAGAACAGCTAGGAGAACTGTGGAATTCGGAAGAACATATGTTGTGAGGCCAAAAGCTAAACACCAAGCAACTATAGTTTGGTTGCATGGCCTTGGTGATAATGGTTCAAGGTAGATTTATCATTCATTAACTTTTAAATAAATTCTTACATTTTTATACAAAATCTTGATTCTTTTTCATTTTTTTTTTATAACTGCAGCTGGTCACAACTCTTGGACAATCTTCCTCTTCCAAATGTAAGCATTATTTCCTTTTGTTCTTGTTTTTCTTTTTTTCTTTTTTATTAAAAAAAGACCATTTAAAAATGTAACTTTTTTGCAGATTAAATGGATATGCCCAACTGCACCTACTCGCCCAGTGACTGTGCTTGGTGGATTCCCTTGTGCTGCATGTAATCCATCAACATTCTTTAATTTAAATAAAAAATCAACATATTTAATTTACTAATCTTTTTTGTTCTTAACAGGGTTTGATGAAGGAGAGCTTTCAGAAGATGGTCCAAATGACGTTGAAGGGTTAGATGCTTCAATAGCTCACATAGCAAACTTGTTATCAACTGAGCCCTCAGATGGTAATTTCACTCAAACTAAAAACCCTAATTAAATATAATGTTTTTTTTTAATTATTTTTCACACATTGACTTCATTTTTTTTTTTCAAACAGTAAAACTTGGGATTGGAGGATTTAGTATGGGTGCTGCATGTGCACTTTACTCTGCAGCTTGTTTTGCTCAAGGGAAATATGGAAATGGAAATCCTTACCCAATTAACTTAAAAGCTGTTGTTGGATTGAGTGGGTGGCTTCCTGGTGCTAGGTATGTATGATACTTGTAATTAAAAAAAAAAAAAAAAAAAAAAAAAACTTTTTACACGATAAAAGCTTTATGTATTTGAATACGTACGTATATATGTTTACAGGAATTTAAGGAACAAAATTGGAGGATCAAACGAAGCCGCAAGACGTGCTGCTTCATTGCCCATTTTGCTCTGTCATGGACTCAGTACGTATTTCAAATCAAGCCTATGTCTGTTTGTTACTTACCACATGACATGACATGACATGTCAGTACTGAATACTGAATGAGACTAAACAAAACAGGTTAGGACATTACATGACAAGACTGAGTGAGACTAGACATGACAGGACTGGAGAAAGTGAAAAAACTTCTAGGGCTATTTCCAATGATATGATAGTACGGTACCTATGCCACTTTTTTGGATGGGACATAAAGTTGTAGTTTGTGTCTCTATGGCATGAGTGACAATCCCAGTCCAATGCATGTCAAACACAGTACAATCTGTTTTGTTTTGTCATGTACTGAAACTTGTTGCATTACAGGTGATGAAGTAGTTCCGTATACTTACGGAGAGAGGTCTTCCCAGATGATGAGTTCAGCCGGTTTTCGATATGTTACATTCAAAAGCTACCAAGGGTATGTATGGATTTAAAAACAAAATTGCATACTTCATTTTCACAAAATCAAAACCCTAAAAGGAAGAGGAAACTTTATTGTGATTTTTGTAGGCTTGGTCATTATACAGTTCCTAAAGAGATGGAAGAGGTGTGTCAATGGCTTCACACAAGACTTGGAGCTTGAGAGATTTATTTCTTGATTATGGAACTGACATGGGGAGATTTGGGTAAAAAATAACCGAAGAATGACAACAAAAAGAAACAGATTTTGTATTGGGAGGAATAATGAGTAGAGTGATAGAGGGGCTTCGGTGGCGATTTAATGGTATACATATATAATATATATATATATATCTATAAATATTTATATATAATGTTGTTTTGTAAGTTGGTTGTTATAAAATAAAGATATTCGGGTGTCAGGATTATTGGTTTTTAGATGGAAATTTGTTTGTTTGACAGTTTGAGATTGTAATGTAATATTGACTTTAGATGGTAAATGGGCTTTTGTTCTTTACATCTTGTTTTGTTTTGTTTTTATCTTATACTTTTACTACTTGTTAATGCAACCAACTTAAACTGTTTTTGTTCTTCGATACATTACAAAGTTATATATGTTGTAGTCTTTGTAATTTAATGAAATTGATTTCAATAAGAATAGGAAGATTTAGGTTGATTTTATACCCAAAACCATGAATTGAAAGTGGTTATGTAATATTGTTTGATCAAGGTTATATATTTCAATGGATGGTTGGGAATAATGTTTGGATATGTTTTCAGAGTCTGAAGTTACCTATTTTTCCAATTTATATAGTAACATTTGCTAACAAACTGTAACACTATTAACCTTGCTAATGGAAACAAACTAACTCATTTGCTAATAAAAAACCAAATAACTATACATCATACTAACATGATATTAAAGCATTAGTAGTTGTTCCAACTTCTAAACCAGAGCATGCGTAGATGAGCTCGTCTGCTCCTGTACATGTACATGTTCAGTAGCTGATGCTGACTCATCTATCGACAAACACAATCTATCAATTGGCAACTACTGAGAAACAAGATCAATCATTGATATTGTTGATCATAGTTGTTGATGTGTCAATTAGGGGTGCACAAAAAATCGGTTCATGATCCGAAACTGGTTTGAAAAACCAAAACCAAATCGTCGGTTTGAGTATATTGCTAGTTCAAACCGGTTTGAAAAAACGGGTTTAGAAACCGGTTTTCAAATCTATGAAAAACCGATTTTCATATAGTAAAAAAATATTGTTTTCATCCATTATTTCTACTATCCCGGATGCCTGAAAAATATTTTCTAAAAACTAAAAGTTGAAAAATACTATTCCTCTAAACAGCCATGAATGCCCAGAAAATAAGTTAGCTCATGGCCTAGCCATGATTGTTATTTATTTGCCTGATCAATCATTAAAGTTTCGTTAAATTCTGACAACGAAAACAAGTTCGGTAAAAAATTAAAAACTATCGAAAAAATGGGTTTATTGATTATTGAGTCTTGATCGATTAAATAATAAAAAATAAGTTTATTGTTTATTGAGTATCGACTCAAACCGGTTTTGATTTTTGTTGACCTAAACCGATCCGATTTTAGAAAACAAACCGGTTTGTGCACCTCTAGTGTCAATATCCAACTGTTGCAATTGATTATTGAGTCTTGATCGATTAAATAATAAAAAAAAAAGAATTATTATTGATTATTCAGAAATCAGAACCGTAATAACCAAGTAAGACCGGAGGGTATGGGAGGGAAGCTTCCCTCACTTTTTGTGGGTCATACCCCCCTTTTCCTCACATTTCTTTCCCTCACCTAAAACCCAATGAATGGGTGGGAAACCCTTCCCTCACTTTTTTTTTTCTTTTTTAAATAAGTTTTTTTTTTATGATTTATAATTTTTAAATTAATAATAAACATAAAATTTAATTAAAAATAAAAAGCATTTCATTAATTAAAATAAAACTTACATTAAACCTAAAATTTAAAAAACTAGAAAATTAAAAAAAAAACACAAACTAAAAATCAAACAAACCAACAACGACCTACGGAAAATATTTTTTCATAATTTTTTCTCTCTTCTTCATCACGAGATCGGAAGGTGGAGTTTGATTGTCGGGATTCATTTTTTTTTTGGAGAAGAAAGTGGAGAGAGTAGAGGATTTGTATGAATTTTGTTTGATGGTAAATAGTTGTGTATTTATAGGTGTGTAAAAAGGTTAAAAAAAATGGATTTAAATCCATTTAGCTGTTGCAGCCCAAAAAAAAATTTATTTCTTTTTTTTACCGTTGAATAACGGTTGAATTTCAATAAAAAAAAAAAAAAACACCCAATCACAGCAGGAGAGAGAACGCGGGAGAGGTTTCCCTCACCCATTCCCGCACCACCCTTCCCCCGCACCGACGATGCGGTGTTCCGCCGGGCGGGAACCTCTCCGCGACCCTTCCCCGCTCCCACTCCGTCCGGCCTAATAAGTGTGAAATCACATTATCAAAAACCTCATTGATTTGGTTTTCTCGGTTTCCGATAAAAAATGGGTTACAATGGCCCATTTTGGTCCAAACATTTGTGTTAAGATTCGGTTTTACAGTTTATTATTTGGTTATTTCGAACTGCTTTTTATTTTAATGGACGAAAAAAAAATCAAACCGGTCTTTTGAGAACTAAGTTTCTCAAAAGCGGTTGGGTTAAAACTGTCGGTTTCGTATAGATTTTAATACAAAATTATAAACCGGTTTTTACCGAAAATACCCGGTGTTTTATAACCGAATCGGTTTGTAACCGAAAATAACCGATTTTTTACCTCACTTTCACTTTAAAAAACTAAACAAAACCGGTTTTAACCGGTCTTTATGCACCTCTACTGTAGGTGCACAAAACAAAACTATGACTTTTAGAAATAAATAAATAAATAAACAAATAAGAACTAGATTTTTGTAAATCGGTTTCAAAAAAATCAAATCGAATATAATTGACTTGATGGTTACTAACTGGATTTAGAAAAAGAAAAACAAAATGATCAAACTTTTATCCGGTTTAAAAAATCTTCATTTTGACCCAATTAAGAATCGGGTTTTGCAAAAATCTTAATCCGAAAAAAATTTAAAGATTTTTACAACTATTTATTTAGTTAAAGTAAATTTGAATATTTTAAAAAGAATATTAAAAAAAATCGGATTTATATAGGTTAATCAAAAGTTAGATTAAAAAAAATTGATTATTCGAATAGTAACTGATCATACCGGATATCTATATCTGATACAAAATCCACTAAAACGCTGTTTTGATTTAACCAAAATCTGATAGCAAAATATTTTGGCTCATGTATTCACCACCTTGATCAAACGCGGGTGACTTTTATAGTTTTATTTAGCTGATTTTCTATTCCATTTTGGAAAGTCTTGAATGTGTCGAAGGCTTTATGCTTATATCTCGTCATATATACAAAACCATATTGACAGAAATCATATACAAGGTAATGAAGTAGCTTTTGCCATATCTTGATATGGTTCTAAAAGGTCTACATTCATTCATATGTACGCATGAATAATAATAGATCACTGGTTCTCACATTGACCAGTGAAAACTGAAAAGGACTTTAGTATCTTTCCATTCAAACAAGACTAACATACGAGAAACGCGTTAGAGATATTGATTCTAAAATCCCATCCTATTGGGTTTTTCATATGTGTTTTTTGTTTATTTGACCAGGGCCGGTCCATGGGTTTTTGGTGCCCTGGATAAAAAATATTTAATAATGCCCTTATACTTGTAACACATAAAAATTATCCATATTCAATGACCAAATAAACATAACCCTAGCATCCCTTATGATAAATTTTGTGTAATGATCCACCTTTTTTTCTATATGTTGCAAGGAATACAAAAATAAATAAATAAATAAAAAGAGTCAATTTGGCACCATTTGTTTTTTTCCGTCATTTTGTGTATCTTGATCCACTTGTGGCATGCTAATTCATTATTTGTCAAAATAAATTAAACAATTCAAGGTTTTAACAGCAAAGCAAAATGAACAATTAGCAAACTTTTATTAACGAGAGTAACTAGTAAAAATTCCAACTATTGAAAATTTCCAAATTTCCAAAATACAACGCATTAGAAATAAACTAAAGTATAATGCAGTATAAGAAACCTCACGATTAGAGTGTTGTCTGTTTGGGACTTGGTACAAGTGGAGAAGCCGAGAAGGAGAAGTGTCTGAAGTGAAGAAGCCGATCGACTCCAAAAAATCGATTAAGCGTGGGAATTGTTGATTTGCTGTGATCCGATTACCAAGAACTTTGTATGCGATATGCTTCAATTTAGGCGTGAAAATCGTGTTTTACATTTTATTGAGCACTAAAAACTCCAGCGGATTAGCTCTACTGCCAACTAGGCTAAAAAATGTTCATGTATAATCAAATTTGGGCCAACTAAATTATACCTGCTATAATTGGTGTTGAAAATATGTTGCCCCAATCTGATGCTGCCCTGTTGGCCCCATGTATTTGACCAAAATAAGGCCATCTGGTATACATTACACGGAGGGTTCCGTGGTTGAGGTTGACCACGACCACGACCGTGCACACCATCCCGGCCGGTTGTGGTCGATCATGGTCGTGATCTTCCGTGTTCCTTTCTTTTGACTGTTCAACGGTCATTTTTTAAGTTTTTTTTTTCAAAAACTCAATACCCATATAAATCTAATAAAACTCTCACATTTCATTACATTTTACTCTAATTCTATAAACCAAAAAACACATGGAGGATTTGGAATTGTTAAAATTTTTTGACTCGGATGATGACGGGGAATTCATCTCGACCTTCTTTAATGTTGTGCAACACATTCACGATGAAGAAAGTTCGAATGTTGCTCGTACAAGGGCAGTCATCAATCGTGGTCGTCAAGCCGCACATGACTTATTGGTACGTGATTACTTCGCCGATAATTATCTTTTCAATGATGACGCATTCGAACGTCATTTCCGTTTAAATAAGGTTATATTTTTACGTATTAGTAATGCTTTAGAAGCCCGTTATGTTTTTTTCAAACAAAAACCCGACGCTAGAGGAAGAATGAGTTTTAGTAGTATACAAAAGTGTGCGGCTGTGCTTAGGTATTTGCAATGGCGGAGTTAGTTGGGGGGCTGCCGGATGCTTGGCCCCCTCAACGATTTTAACTAAATGGTGTAAACTTTGTATATATTAATAATATAGTTACCAAGCCCACATGGAATGTATGTATAGACATTATAACCACCTGTATTTTTATTTATATTCAATGTGCATCTTATAATTCTCT